GCTACCTGTCTCATTTCCCTGGAAAAGACTTCGGGATATTAAACAGAGAACAGTCAATCCCACTGTCACCAAATAATCCTCTAGGAAATAAATGTAGTAAAAAAGTCACACTTGTCTTAGCAGATGTTGATATTATTTTAATGTCATGGGTTAGAGCATTTAAAGAACTTTTCTGGAACTATTCGGAGCACATGCCTGTAATGGGGTAAATGGGTGGAATATGATTTAGCTTTAAAAGATCAGACTCTGTAACAGTACATATATCTAAAAAATATATTCCATTTTATGACCAGCTAGTTGAATGTCTTGCTGTGATACAGCAGCATTATGGTACTGTATATTTTGAAGGTAGTGCTAAATTCAGACCCTGGCTCAGATGTCCTGACTTGCTATTTGGGGCACTTGCTGTAGAGGAAAATAAAATTCAGGGCCAGATCCAGACCCAGAGTCCCCATTCTCCTGCTGCTGGGAGTACCAGTTTTGCCCTACTTGTTTGACTAGGAGTGAATGGGACTGGTTTGGTTTTCTTCCAGACCGGTTATACCTCGCCTCATTATAAACTTCACCGTGTACTGTCCTTTCCCCTGTCTTATCTCCCCGTCTCCTTCAAGGGCAATGGTGGAACGCAAGAGGGGTGCTTTTGCTGGGGGCTGTTCTGAGCTGAGAGGAGAGGCAAAAATGACCCTTTATCCTGCTCAGTGTTTCAAACAGCTTCCGGCCTGCCGGGAGGGGATGTGTTGAGAACGTGTGAGAGAAAACACTGAAAAGGGAAAAAAGGCTCAAAAAGGGAGGGGAAAAAAAGTACAGCAAGGAAGCTAGAGACAAACTTCAAGTTGTGGATTATTTCTCACCCAGGCTCTAATTAGGAAGCCTCTTATGGGACTGTGAAGCTGTCAGGCTGCCAAATGTCAGTGTGTTTATCGGAGATCAGGCGAGTCTCCTGTCTGCAGCAGCTACAGTTTGGTGCCATGAGCCTCCTGGGTCCTTCCAGCGTGTGTGACTCACACTCAGCAGTAGCACCTCCGGGGGCTTCGAGGCGCAGTGGAGGGCTCTTTCTTCTCCCTTAAAAATCCAAAAATAAGCCCTTTCCTGAGATTTGGCCTCTTCATTCCGGTTCTGCACGGGGAGGGTTAACCACAGCGTGCAGAGCAGCTTCAGAGTGTGTGACTCAGATTCCCAGGGAAATCCCCACCTTATCTGATGGAGCCTGTTAGTCTGCTAATTGAATAAGCTCCTATTAAAAGTGCAATGTTTTTTAATGACTGCTAACAACGGGCCAGATTCTGATCTGATCTTTTTGCTTGGGATCATTTTTGCTGCTGATTGCAGCCGGGCAGCCTCCCCCAGCCCCACCGGCTGCCGTGGAGCCCGAGCCGGGAGCTGACACCAACACACCAGCTCTGGGGCTTCCGGGGTGCTGGGGAGCTACAGACCGGGCATCAAAACTTCAGTTTTAATGAGCCAGGACTTCATGAAGTGCAACAGGCAGGAAGCTTTTAATGGGAATCTTTAGGAAGAAACAGAAGGCTGCAGTGCAGCCAGCAGAGGAAAGCATTTGTTGGGAGACTACCAAGGACTCCATGTAATGTAATTGCTGCAAATATCTACTGCCTGATTCGAGCAGTGCTCTGAGTAATTAACTTTGCCAGTGTTGAAATCAGGTTGATTCTGCATATACGACATTGTCTGTGTCTGCCTAGGAAAAATGTTGTGTGTGCCTCTGCATATGCACATTCAAACCCTAATTTTAATTAAAATTATGTGTATTACATCTGTATCTTCTTTTCTCTATGGGAATTGACTTTGAGAAGGTATTTACCTAACAGGAAAATAAAAAAATGTGGTTGGCATTTAAATTTAACTTAGTAGGGTTCTGGGGTACTTCCGAAGGAGAGTTTAACAGCTCTGATTTCAGCCAGGCCCTGGCTGCCCCAGGGTGGGGCTGAGATCTCTTGCAGGACCCTGTGACCACATTTGCCTTCCTTTTCTCACCTGAAACTCCCAGTGGGTTACCCAAGCCTATGTGACATCAGAACCATACAAAGTTTTCTAATAAGACTGGTTTTTGTTTCTTTTTGCAAGCCAGGAATGAGATCTGGCCACCTTCACCCCCACGCATCTCCACACCTACTCAGTTCCTTTGTGTGCCCCTTTTACTTTTCTCCAAGGAAAGTTTCTATTAAAATGCAGGAGCTTCTTTTAGCAGGTCCCATACATCCACACTGACACTGAGCTGCTGCTTTAAAAGTTTCATAAGCAACCAGTAAATGGTGGGTTTTTTCCACACAATGCCAATAACGAAGTGTCAAAAATCTCAAGCTCCTGTTATCAGAGGCAGAGTCTAACCCCCATTTCTCAGGCTGTTTTCTACTCCCCACTCCCGAGTTGTCAGATCCTGTGACATGGCTCCATCACACCACGACTAGCAGTCCCAACAAACAGAAAATGATTTCCAACTGGCAAACATGCTGTTTACTTTCCAGAAAAATTGCACTTTCCCATCTGACAGCTGATCAAGGGATCTCCTGCTGCTGTCAGCATGAAGAAGTGTTTAAACACAGAGATGGAAGTTTAAACATTTTCTCATTATCACAGAATAAAAAAAATTAAAAAATAATAAAAAAATAAAGGCATTGAGTCTCTCCGACCACCTGCTGTGCCAGTAATGAAGCGATGTCACATGACCAGCCGGTGAGGACTTTTATCTCTGCCCCAATATCATTACTGAAGTGACACCTGTCACATGACCCGCATCAGAGCTTTCATCTGGGCTCCCCAAATGCAGTTCTGGCTTGTGAGGGGGATTTTCCTGGCATTTCCCTCCCCCTCACACACTTTAAAGAGCATTGCCCACTTGCGCCATTACAGACAGAGGTTTGCAAGTTTCAAAGCCCTTGGATCTTTCCTTGGGCACATGTAATTTGGCCAACAAACTTGCTCTGGGCTGAAGGAAAACAGAATCCTGGCCTGGGAAAGAAGTTATTTCATTTACTTCAAGATGTTTTTAAAGCAAATATTTAAGTCTGCTGTTAAACTCTCTTTAGAAGAGGATGTTAAAGGATTTCTCAAAAATCTCCGATTTGTTTTTCATTTTTTATTGGGTGGTGAGAAGAAACAGTTTGGTGACCCTTGAGCACAATGATCTCCATTTACATGCACTTTATAAACTCTCACCTGCTTTATTAATGCATCCTGCCCCTGCCAAGAGAAAGTATTTTCTGGGTAAAAAAAGGAAAGATCAGTCCTGCACCTCTCTGCAAACGTCTGGGATTTTTTGTGAGGTGTTCAACAGCAAAAACCTAGATTTGAGATGGGCCCACATAAATGGTAGCAGTTCTGAGCACTTGCTCACCAGAACCCACTCAGTTATTACCTCAAAACAACATCAAACATTCAGATGTGACAGGGGATGATCACCCTACAGGAACTAGATGTGGGCACATTGGAGATAAGAGAATATGAACTTCATGCCTTTTTCCAGCTTCTCCTTTCCCACCCTGCACTCATCCCTGAATGAAGTCTGGTACTCCTCTCCCTTCATAATCTAATTCAGCTCACTAAAACAATGAAAAACTAACTCAGCAAAAGAGTTCATAATTTTCCACCTGTTCAGTGAACTAAATCAGTTCTTCAAGGTCTTAGAAAAGCGCCAGAGAGCAAAAAAGAGAGACTGTGAAGCTTGAAGCAGGGAGGGAAATGGTGGAAGCAGAACCACCTTTTTTGGTGGCACTAACTTGGTACATGAATTCAGATGTGTTTCTTGTTACCTACTGTTTCTGACTCGTTACGACACTACACTCATTTTCCCTGAAAGTTGCTGCCCCTGAAATTGTGCAGGTCAAGGGATGGAAAATGTACTGAGATCAGTACTTCTAGTGTAAATAGTACTCCATTTAGTTTGGGACAGGAGTCGTTCTGAGGCAATTTCTCTCTCTGATCTGGCATGTTTAAGGCCTCCAATGTTGACTTAATGAACAGAAGACTGCTAGGTTGCAGCACATCCTTTGGACACGGACCTCCTGGCTTTCTATCCATCTAGATACAGAATTAGAAGGTATCATTTGACCTTTTGGCAATTAAGCATATAGCTAAATTTAGCAATGTTATGGCCATTATGGGGTAGCAGCTATGTAAAACAGCAAAGCCATTCTGTCTGCTGCTCCAGGGCAGAAAAAATTTACAGTTGATGCTCTGGATAGACCATGAGGAAAAGTGACTCAGTTCTCATCATTAGATCCCTCACTGCCCATGCATAACAAATCCTTTCACTTAACATATCTTGAGCATTTAGTGGCTTCCAATTAGGAGCAGACATTCAGCCATGACCAACCCATTGCAGGCATTAGAGATCCTGCTTCTTCACTGCTCTTAGTTCAGACATCTCCAAGAATGCAAAAGGAATGCAGAACACCCATATCCCAACTTGGGCATCATTTATAGCTCAGTATTGCAATGGGAGGTCAGGTCTTAATCACCCTAAGAGTGGCTGATTAGAAGATCTGGGTTGATGCAATCTAGAGCTAGAAAGACTTTTGGGACATAATTTGCCTTTTCATCAAGACAGAGAACTTTAAGGAATGTAACATAAGGAATATCTTGTCCTCTTAACTGAGCAGTGCCTGCAGATAGTCTGTGTACCCTTTTATACAGTTAATCTATACATTCCTGCAATTATGTCTATAGCAAGGGCAAAGGGGAACATAAACAGTTGTGCTGCTTCCTGCCCAGATCTGCAGTGTGTGGTTAGTAAACGATGGACCAGGGTGGGGCTGGACCTGCAGCTCCCTTACACTAAAAGCTCATCTTTCAGCTCTTTCTGTGGCTGCCACCCATAGCTCTTTGACTGGTTTTGTTCCAGTGTCTCAATGTTCTGCATAATTCTTGCTCAGAGAAGTTCTCCCAGTCATGCCAGTGACACTACTTAGATGAATAAAAAGTATTCAAGAAATTTTGCATGCCTGCACCTTAATGATTTATCTCTGTCTTCCTTTTCTTCCCAGATCTGCTGTGGGATTATATCATGGCTACTGGTTTATGATGTCCCAGAGCTAAGAAAAGGTATCCCAGATAGCTGAAACCAAGCAGACTACTACTTGAACACAGTAAGTTACTTGCTTTCCCAATTCTCCCAGGAAGAATACTATGAGAAATTTCACAGTAACTGTAGTTGGGAAAGAGCTCTCTGATTTCCCTATGTGTCCTGATCAGCACTTACCTCAGATTAACTTTCCTTCTCATAGTCTGTCAGCAGCCCTGAGCTCAAGGAGATTAAAACACTCTGGTAACTCATTAATGAGCCAAGACTCTCAGCAACAGCTGGGGCAAGAATGGACTGTGTTTGGCTACATCTTAATTCTCTGCCATCTCCCCTCTGCTCATCAACACCTGCACACATTTGGGATCCTGTATAAGAAGACCCCTGAATTCAGCTCTAAGCAACCAGTTTGCAATGCACATGTCTAATGCTCTGCTGGTGTGGAACCAGTACGCTGGTAATCCTGTTAGCAATGGCAGAAGCTCCCTCTAGGAAATTATAACAAATAGTCTTAAACAATTCCTTTTGTTGACAACTTTATCCAAGAAACCATCTTCCCTGGAGACTTCACTCAACTTTCCACTAATCCCCTCCTTCCCTCAGGAGCTCTTTTGTTGAAGGAGATTGTAGGCAAACCCAGGAATGACAGGTCTCGATAAGCCTTGGATCAGCTTCTACATTCTTTCAATTGTCAGTCCCCATCTGTCCTGTTTGTACATCGATCTTCTGGTCCAGGGATCTCTCTATTAAGTGACACATGGCTGAGTATATTCTGCAAGTCCAGTGTCCAGACTGTGCTGTTACATCTTCGTTGCCAAGTCAATCTTTCTGACATTGCTTTCTGAAAAACAAAAGGCAGGACATCTGTGCAATTTCATTCCCTTCTAATAAAAGGTGATTTTTAAAAATACACACCCCACCCCCCAAACTCTGTCCTTGTTTTATAATCTCAAAAATTTTGCTTCATTTTGTCAATATCAAGAGTTGCTTCAAAGGTCTTTGGTGTAATAGAGGGTACAATCTGCCCTTGTTGCAAAGGAATTCTGTTAGGATAAAAATCCATGGCCTAAGTCCTGAATAACAAAAAAAAAATAGATCCTAATTACAAATGTTCTGCAGAGATATTGCCTTCAGTCATGTCTTCTTGATAACAACTGGTTTAAAACAAGCTCTAATCTTCCTGTAGATGCAACTACACTTAGCTGGTACAGTAGCACACACACGTAAGAGGCACAGCATTATTTATCTGAATTTTGAGAGGCAGAATGAGAACAGTAGCAGATTCCAATGATCCATCTGTTCCTCCTCAGCAGGTAGAGGGAAAGAGGTGGGTGGTATAGGGTAGAAAATGAATGGAGTGTTGGCATGGAGTATATATCACCCTGGGGTATCAGCGATACTGTCAGTACCTCTTCCTTTCTTGAAACCAGAAGGAGAACAAGCAGGAGTCTGTGATGATGTTTTGTCCCTTGCTGTGTTGCTCGGGGCCCATGGATTCAAGATGGAGCCTCGTATGTTTAGGGTTTTTTTGTTTTGTCTACTTTTATAACTTAACTCAGGTTGGCAAGTGAAGGAAGGCTGGCCAGTTTCATTATGTTCCCAGGAAATTCTATTCTCTCATGTGCCAGCGTGAGGCTGTTGTGCTTTAGATGCCTATCTACCTCTCATTAGATTTGAAAAAGCATACAGAACCCCCTGCTTTCCATCAGTAGCCTATTAAAATGACAAAAAAAATTACTCTTTCATTTTTAACCTTGCTTGCATGTCTGAATCCAGATGCTTTTTTTGAAAAGAGAATTAATAATATGAACACCATCACTTATAGAATGTTTTCCTGTAATGAAGTGGAGAAGAAAACTTGAGCTGACATTTAAGCTCGCTCAGTGTACCTTGTAAGTAGCTTTCAAAAAGTGACAGAAACACTTTGAGGCCAGGTTAATATAAAAAAAATGTTTAAGACTATCTCCTACTATTTTCAAGTTTTCACCATTTTAAACGATGTGTTTGAGAAATGCTCTCTAAGTCAGTTAAAATGGGCCAAATACAAGTTCATTGAACACTGAAGCAGGAGTGCCCTCCTCAAGGGAGTAGTCCCAGAAGCCTTAGTGGAACTGACAGCCAGCTTTTTTGGCAGGATTAGTTCCTCTCTGATCACAGAGAAGGAACAGCCATCCTGTCTGCACTTGGCTGAGCAGGTGAGCAGGGAATGCATTCAGGCTGCTTCCAAAACCCAATCTGGTCACAGGGCTGGCATTGTCAGGTCCTTCTTGAAAGGACTCGAGGCTTCCTGTCTGCCTGCTGTTGTCCACATGATGAGGGCAGAAGGGGTACAGAGAGGCTGTGAGACCAGGCACTGAGTGCTGGGACCTGATCCTATAGCAGGTACCTGCCATCTCCATGCATTTGAAAGCACAGATGGCTAGCTGAGGTGTGCCCTGCTATCACAGCTAGGTTGCCTCTTAGCTTGGCAGACAGTAAGACAGTCAAACTAATTTGGCCTCAAGATCAGTTTCCAGGTCTGCCGTTCAAGCATAGACCCAGCACTGACACTGACTGGACACATGGTGATAACAAATGCACAAAGTAAACAAAGAGACAGGATATAATAAAAGGCTGTTTTCTGGTAACTTCTTTCAGTAACAGTGATTTCAAGTGATCTTTTGGTCTTCTGTTATAAAAAGGAAATGAAAAATATTGATGCTGAAGCATCATTTTGAGGTTCGTCATATTAAAATAGGGATTAATTAAAGCCAAGGATGTTACAAGCTAAGGAGATTTTGCCTAGCTCTGCTCAGGTTCCAATGTGTGTGAAATCAAAACAAGTAAGCTATAAAATGTGAACTCAATAGGCAAGGACAAAAGAGAACAAAGCAATTTGGTCAGTTTAAGCAGTGGGAAGATGAAGCAATATTTTGACTGCGGAGGCATCAGAGGAAAGGGCAATGGTCTGAGACTTGGAAATATGACAAAACAAATCCAAACTTCCCATAATACAACTGAGCGTTGTTCATTCAGGGCCATTGGCTTGCTGATCCCTTCTCTCTGAATGTGAGGCGTCCCACTTTGTCCTCATGCTGGGATGTGATCATCCAGCCCCTGGTATCAGTTCTGTTTTCCCACCTTCAAAACACAAAGGAATTCATGTGCTAAAGATGACGGCAGCAGCTTTGACAGTGGCAACTATGTGCTTACCCAAGAATCAGTCAGTCATCCCTACTTTCTACCAGAACTTGCTCGAACCTCCTGAGAGTTGGCCTTTTCGGTAAGAAGCAAACAGGTCACAGATTTCAGGTTGCAGTCTCACTCCTGGAACTGCGAGCACTGATTGTCCTGTGGAAAAATCAGGTTAAAGAGAAAGCTGCAAAATGGTCCTTTTCCTTCATTGTGCTACTTTCCTAGTGCTCTCCTGTGACATTAGCCACAATATAAAATAATTCAGGATCCTATTTCTCACAGCTGCATTCCTTCTGATTTTTTTTTGGAAAATTATTTCTTTAATCTAGACACCCTTTTCTAGAAATCTCATCTGCAGTTTTTTTTTCTTTTTTCTTTTTCTTTTTCTTGGAGCAACCAGCAAAATACTATTTGGTAGAACAGTGATAGGAATGCAACCCACTAATCAAAAGGATTCAAATGGATCTGCGCACTGCCAAGCTCTCTCCTTCCCACCCAGCAGAGGGGAAAAAAAAGAAAAAGAAAAAAGAGATAGAGCGAAGGCACAGGGCTTCTCTCCTTCAGCAATCTCACAAATGCAAAACCTTCCACTCCAGTGACTCCTCATTAACTTACCAAATCTGACAGTCTAATTATCGTAGCTGCTTCACGCTTAGAATAAATAAATACTAAAGTGGGTGTTTAAAGAAATTGAGCAGTGAAATCCAGTCATCTAGACAGTCAATAGAGAGTTTATTTTAAATTTTTATATTCTTATGTATTTATATCATTTTAGGAAAGATAATGAGATAGTTGTCTTTCAGGCTAATTGAGTTCCTATGCTCATGGTTGCTTGCTGTCACAATCTCAAACTTAGCTTTAACTTTTGTGCCTTAGAAACCTGATCACTCTTTTACCTGATCCCCGTTTACTCTTTTCTGATAATAACTGGGTGAAGTCAGAAGTGCACCTGAGGATGGGAAACAACTACACCAGACTACCAGTCTGGATGTCTTTCACAGCAAACAAGCCAGCTAAATCTTTTCAAATTTGCATTTAAGAGTGCTAAAGGGGAAATGGAAGTTAAAGAAACATCAGATACAACTTGCAATTAGACAAAATACAGGAAAACATCTGGTAACCTCTGATGCAATAGTGTCTGCCTCCATGAACGGTATTAACAGTGCTCTCCTCCAAGAGCAGTTCATCTCTCTGAACAATAAGACCTTTATAGAGATTCTCTGGCCTGAGATCAATGGGAGTCAGAGCATTTGATCCATGTCTGTAGGACTTTGTTTCCACAAGTCATGTGGGCCAAACTTTGCACCAGTTGTGCTTTTGCAAGAGCGGGAGCTGGGGAGTGAGCAAAAGAAACTTTCCTTCTTTTCCCATCTTCCCCTTCACCCTGTGCTCCTGAACAGTGCCCAGCACTTGCCAGCACAATATCTGCTCCAGGACAGCACGCGAGGAAGAGCTCAAACAGGGCAACATGTCCAGAGTCCTGTGCCCTTGGCAAACATCTACTGTGATGTTGCAATAGCTCTTTCCTAGAGTGATGGCTTAATGACAGAATACAAAACTTTAATGTCCTGTCACTATGTAAGCAAGGAGACCTTCCACCACTGTGGAGATCAGAGTGGGTGAAGTGAGAGGTGGCTTTCCTGAGTTAAGTGAAGATTCGCTTTATCATCTCACATATAAGAATACTTCTGGCTTAGGAAGCTGATTTCCTGCTCAACACCAGCTTTGATTTATACCTGTACTAAGACACATTATAAACCAGATGCATACACCTGATAGGAACTTCACTTTCTAGGTGTCTGTATCTGATTTGCAGTGATGGATATCTATTTGCTGTATACAGAGGTGGCAAAGCACAGTGGTAAAGAAACATTAGGGGACTATATAAACCTTTTAGCTATGTAGGAGAATCTAGGCCAACCAGTCAACCTGAACAAGGTGTTCTGAAAGCCAGCTCTTCTTTATGTGTTCCCTGTGATAACATCTACCAGAGCTGGCTAATCCCAACAGTAATGGGATTTTTGCTAGGCAATGGCTTGCAGCCTTAACCTCCTCACTGCCCAAACTGCCTTAGCTTCGATGCAAGAGGCATTAAAATGACTGTGGTCTGCCAACATCAAGCCTCCCCCCTCTTCCTTGTCAGCAGGCTGTTTTGGAGAAACAGTACAGTGTCATCACCACCTGGCACCCTGGTTTTGAGTTGTTGGGAGAGGTAACAATGAGAGACCAACCGTACCCAAAAAGAGCAAGTACCTCCTAGTCTGAGCCAGGATCATATCCATGCAACACACAATCCTCCTCACAGAGCACAAATTCGACTTGACTAACTGCAGCACCTGCACTGTGAGAAAGGTCTCTGGTTGGTCCAGTGGGGATAGGATCTGAGCTGCCAGCTCAGGCCTCCTTGGCCCGCGTGCCTGGGTTGTTCAGCCAGAGCTCTTCTTGCAGTATGTTTTCTTGGGAGCATATTGTTGATGACCCCAAATCCCACTGCTAACCCTCCCTGCTTGCAAGCCTGCTCTAAAGCATTGGAGGGCAAAAGAGAGGGAAAATAAACCAAATCTATAGCTAAGAATAATAAGCTGCAATTGTTACTGTGTCTGACCTGTCTGACAACAGAGTGAGATTCCTTCCCAGAAGACCCTTTGCACTTCAGGACTGACACTGAGTTGAGAGAACAACTCATGCTTTCTTGATTCAAGGATCTCGTCTTTCTTCCAGGAGGGATTAATTGGACAGAAAAAAGTCTGCTTGAGCAGATGGCAAAGGGTTAGACTGAAGTTTTATCAGAGCTGCTGCAGTGCAGGGCTGCACTGCACAAAGATAATTATCTCAGAATTGGCTTAAGCCAAAAAAAGGACAGCAAATGCTCCAGTTTTACAAAAGGTCATCACTGCCACCCCTTAGGCTACTAGCCACACTGAAAGGAAGCTGGAGAATCCCCTGCACCTCTCTTCTCTTGCTATATTCAGAGGTGCTGTTGGCACATGTAGAATTAAGGCCAACAAGACAATGAGTGGGGTTTGAACCTGGGCCTTAGCATTCCCTTCTAGCCCTAGAGGCACAGGAGTGAGCAGCCGAGAAGCCCATCTGTGGGCCACTCCCACTCAGAGGACAGTCTTCTTCCTCCCTAGAGCGTGGGCTACTCTTTTTTTCTAGCACTTTGCATTCAGATGAGCATAGCAACAGTAACCTGTTCCCCTCTGTAGGAGCTGACCACCAGGAAGCAAAGAGCCCTGTGCTCCCTCTCCCCCTTCCCAGGGGCAGCAGCCAGCCTCTAGCCATTACCATTCCCCTCAGTAATCAGAGACTTGCTATTTGGAGGGGTACTTATCTGTGAAATACTGATTTCTCCAATTATTTTTTCCCATTAACTGACCTTTGAAAAACATCCTCTAGCTTCCAGCTTATCATAACAACTTACAGAAAGGACAGTTATGGATACAATTACTTCATTAAAATAGAGAATAATTTCTTATGGGAAGCTTTAATTTTTTCAAATGTTGTTTCCCTCTTAGTCTAACACACCTTGGGATCAACCCCCTATTCCCTTCACCTTTCATCTCCTGCTCATTCTTTGCCTTTCTGCTTTAACTTTCCCCTTCAGAGGGTGGCAACTGATAGCCAAATCCTCTAGAACAAAGTGAGAAAGGAACATATTTAAAATCTGTACTGTTAACATAGCAACAAGAATTTTAAAATGATACAGTTAAATTCTAAAACAGTGTTATGCCAACGTGACACAAGAGAACAAACGTCTTACACTGTTGTGGCAATAGGAATGGCTACATGGGGAATTATTGAGAATTGCCTAATTTTTATGAGCTTAATGAGTCACTCCTGAATATGATCTTGCATGATCATACTGCACTTGTTTCAGCCCTGTGCACTTTAATTCTGCTCCCAACACACTGGTTGCTATGATAACGCCATGTAGTTTCCTGTCCACAAGGTACTTCTTGCTGCAATATGGGGGATAATAAATGTGGGATGGTGCTTAAACTGAGGTGAAATGAATCTGTCCCCTCGCTGGCAGCATATCCGAGAGATTGACACATTATGCCAATCTGTTTTCTCATTCCTTCTATTTCTCCTCACTCTCTCCCTTTCTCTCACACTGTCTGTCTCTGTACCTGTTTTTTTCCACACACTCTCTCTCTCTTGGCACTGACACTTTCATCTTCTCCCTTGGGGATTGGAGATGTCACTGCGGGAAGTGCTTGTCCGCCTCTCTGGCAGCAGCAGAGCCCTGTGGCTTTGACAAACCTCATTTAATTGGGAGGAAGCCAGGAGGGTTTGAAAGAACTGAAACATCCACGAAACTCCTTTTATCAGGCATAATTTAAACTCTGCATGGAAAAAACCCTATATGTATAAAGAAAAGTCAACTTCCCTCCTGCTGTGCGTGCTCCCCTCCTCCCCCCCCCAGCACAGGCAGGCTCCTGCGAGATTCCATCTTTTCATTTTTCTAAAAGTGTCAAAGTAGATTTGTGCTCTGTGGCTGGGTGAACAAAAAAGGAATGCAGATGTCTCTCACTCATGCACATACACACACAGAGCACCTTCTGAAGGGCAGCAGTTTGGGGATTTGGGAGAAATGCTGGCTGGCTGCTCCTTCACTTGGGATGTGTTGCAGGAGCCAGAAATTTGGTTTTCCAATAGTTTGACAACACAGTCCATGAAGGCTTTTTCTTAATTGCCCCTGTCTTAAAAAACACCACCAAACTAACTAGTGTAGAGGTTGCCCAGGAGGCAACAGGGAATGCAAGGTTCCTTTGGCCTATTGTCCAACAGGAGGGAGCTTTGCCTAGTGAGGAACAGAATCTGTAGCTTGAGAGACCCTGTATTTATTGTCAGCTCAGGGCAGGAGAGGCAGAGCTGTGTGTGCAGCTGTGTGCTCGAAAGAAGGGAGTAAGAGAAGAAGAAAATAAAGCAGGTAAAACTGAGGGAGAACTGGTGTGACAGGGTACGAGGAACAGCTGTCTCAACATCAAAAGGGAGCAGGAGGAGTGGTCCGAGGGAATTGGGGCTAGCACATCATGCTGAGCAGCTGGGAATTCAGGACATCAGGATGGATCAGCACGTGAGTTACACTGAATACACAGTGTGAGCCAGCCCGAGGGAAAGCTCCAGGCCCCTGGGGTTACAGAATGGGGAGAAAGGACCTGTCGAAGCATATGCACCTCTACTTTGCTAATGGACTGTGGTAGCAGCCCATCAAGATCCCCTTCTAGTATTAACACTGTAGTCAAGTGGAAGAAAATAGAAAAGCAAGCTGTTAAATTTGCAATAGGATGTAAACTTTGCAGCATACGGAAGTGGGGGGAAGTGCAGACAGAAAAGAGGGAGATCCAGGTGAATGGCAGAGACTTTCAAAGTAGAGAAGAAACTCTAATAGCATGTGCAGTAGCTCTTTCTTGGTGAGATGAAATCGAGACTTAACTTACCAGCAGGAACCTCACAGAGTTGAGGAGGCAGAGGCCTGAAGAAGCCATGTAGAAGTGCATCTTGTGCAGAGATTCGTCCCCGAGGGAAGGCTGTGAGCATCCTGGAGGCCAAATTCTCTGCTGCTGGCACCCTGCTCAGCCTAGGAAAACAGAAATATAAATAGCATAGGAGATGAGGACAAGCCAGAAAGCTAGAACCAGAACATGACGCAGCCCATCCCAGAGCTTGGGGCAGAGATAGGGGAGGAACACAGGGGAGCTGGACAAACCCACTCCAGATATACAGCTTTTCAGGACATTCGCTTTTCCATCTGACTTTGATTGTGTTGGAGTATATATATATACACAGAATTTCAACTCAAACTCATGTTTACAGAGGAATTCGAAAATAAATTTCTATTTTGTAAAAAGAAGGCTGTAAGTGAAAGGGGAAATGATGTTGGAGAGACTATATTTTGCATGTTGTAACCGGCATATCAGAGGTTGGTGTTACCAGTTTACAGTGACAATGCAAGTGCAGAAAATAATCTGACTGGCCCACTGAGAAGACCAGAGGTCAAACTTAAAAAAACTAAAGAAAATACCATTTCCTCTTTTCCTACCCTAGTACCAGTACAGCAGCTGGTTGTAAAATGTGTTGGGGATTCACAGAGAAGTATCTGTTTCTCAGGATGAGTGCTTAAAATAGATGTAATACACATATGCTCCATGTTCAGCAAATACCAATGCCAAGTGGCTGCTCTCTAGAGGAGCACACAGCTGGGGGGACGAGGAAGTAGAAGAGAGAAAACAAACCAACAAGGAAACAAATAAAAATAGTAATTTAGTTTTACAGCTTTTACTTTGTTTGTTTGTTCTGATCACGTTTCAGCTTCAGGAGGCCCATCAGAGCATGGCCTGTTGTGCTTCCTCCCTTGGCCCCCCGTCGGTGCTTCCCCTCCAAGTGACATCAGGGGCCAGGATCCCCCTGCCCCTGCACTCCCCCTCCCTATATGGGACATTTGACATGCTGACATTTTTGTTTTAAGGAGATAAAATGCAAAATAAAAAAGAAAAAGAAAAAACACAGAGAGAGAAGTAGAGAGAGACATCCTGAGAAACAAATTTATAAAAGGTATCTGGCCTCACTGTGGTAAATAACTTCCGAATTTTCACCTCCAGCAAAACGATTCAAACCTCTGCTTCCCTAGGGAGCAGGGACGGGACAGGGAGACAAAGCATCCAGGCTGAGGCTGCTTGCTAGACTGCACACCAGGCTGCCCCTGCCATGGCAGGGTCTTACTGGAGACCTTCTGCCCCCTCAGTCCCCGTTTCTGCAGGCTCCCACACTGGGCAGCAACACAGTTCAGTGCTTCCCACCATGGCTCAGGCTTCCTGGTGTTGGCTGAGCTCTGCAGAGCTCCCCTCTGATTTCTTAATTGGCCATGGAGAGTCATGGCTGAGCAGTCTGCGTGAAGCAGCTCTTTCCTTCTCCGGAGCTGAGCACGCCAAGGCAGTTTTTTGGCCCTACCAGCACGAGGACTCTGTAACAGAGAGCTGGAGCTGGCCCATGAGCAGCCCAGAGCCCTGCCACAGAGGTGCTGGGTCAGCCCGCTGGTATGGAGCTGTAACGGGGCCTGTGAAGGGATTGTGGCCATAAAGTAGAAGTACAATACAGCAGAGTTGCAAGGAATATACTTAATTCTTTGTTCAGGCTGAGAGAGGATTTGTTCTGTTCCAGGACCTGCGTTATCAGGGTTTGGGACATGTTGAGCTTTGTGTATGAGAATGGCTGACATTTCAGCAACCTGTGCTTTGCAGAAAACTTCAGCATGTTTGTTCAGAACAGCATATGGAAAACCCAGCTCATTTCCCTCTGAGCAGGGTTGTTCAGCAGTCAGCTGAATAGATAATAAACAGCAGCGATGAAAAATGTGGTTATGTCCTCAAAGGATATTTCATTCTTGACCTCTGCCTGAACACAATCCTGAGGACAAATCCTGTCCCGTCTTTTCCTACTTATGTATAAAACCTGTTGTGTGCCTCAAAATCAGTATTGTGGGGATTTGAATTTAATGACTCTCTGAGCTTGGTTACAGCACTTTGCCTGATTATAAGTTTCTTTCACTGATACATACATGCATTTTGTATATGTCTGTGCGTGTACATATGTGTGCTTGAAAAAATACTCCCTTCTCTCAGCACACTAGGGAGTGATTCAGCGGTGCTGGTGTGTCTGGTCAAGCTGAGTATGTAACCATGGCCTTAGTCTCATAGCTTTTGGCCACTAAGAATGTGATTTTCCCTCTCCTAACTAATCACAAGATTATTTCATTGTCTTATGAAAATGCTGTCCTAGCATGTCTCCCTTACTGCTGTTGAGCAACATTCCTACAGTCTGTTTTCAGAAATGAAAATTGGGACAGTGCAAAGTCTGTCTTCAGTCTGGGCAAGAGGGCCTGGGAAAGTATGACCTTCTGAATTGAACTGTGCCCCACAAAAAGCTGCATATAATGTCATTGAATCACTGCTTATCTCAGAATAATCACTACTCCTCTGAGAATAATAAACCCACTACGTGCCTACCTTTACTGCCATCTCTGAAAATCAGTTGCTTAACTGACGTTAGATCTGCTTGTTACTACAGAGCCACCCTGCACTTCCTGGGCTTGCCAAAAGAGCTCATTTCAAGCTAAATGATTGCATGAAGAAACAAATAAACCCAGAGGCGATTTTGACATTGCTGTTATTGGTAGCTTACCTGTTACAGATGACTCGGAGTCTCTGAGGTCTCCTGGAAGCAACCAGTTCTAGAAAGTGTAATATGCAATCACAAGATTAAATGAAAATCAAGCCAAATACCATTCTTTGAGCCCTTACAAAAAATATGTGCTCAGAATTTCAAAGGGCCCTATAGAATCTGTCATCTTAGTATGTATAAATATACATTATTCCTATAGGACTTGAGCACCAGCCTTGATTTTAATAAGGCTGTTCCAGTTCCGTAACCCTTTCCTTTCATATATCTGTGAGTGTAGGCTTCGGGCCTCCTTCTGTTACAGTGCAAGTCTTAGCTTTGACTTCAATAAAAGCAGTACCAGTCCCTAAAGCCTTTGCACAAAGGAAGCAGACGGAAGTTTGCAGGTCTGAATCCCCAGCAATTGTCTTGGCTTTCCAAGGGGCTGCTGAACTTCACATATTGCCCTGTGGGTACCTGGGGCTTTTCTGCGCCGATGTGGCAGAAAGATGGGACCAGAGAAAAGGTGCTGGTGTCCCGCTCTCTTCTTGCCCAGTGTTCTGCTGCCAGTCCCTCACTAAGTTTGTTGTTTATTCAGTTAACCATTCTCATGCAGGCTTAGTACTTAATGATTACGTGATCTCTACCAGACTGGAACTTAACAGAGTTCACAGTTTTGTGAAGGCTGCATTCTTGTTGATGTTTTTCAAGGACATATTTCTAAACATTGTGGAAAATGTAGAGCAATACATTCCTCAAATGTTTTATTATAAAGCATGAATTTTCTCAGGCTTAGATATGAATGAATGGCTTAAGCCTGGAAAATTTTCCCTTAGAGCTGATCAACAGAGACATTTTCTTGCATCAGAGAGGCTGTAATTTCTACCCACCTACATTTTCCTGAGCACCGTTTCTGGCAGCAGGGAATGAACAGTGGTACTCTAGTCATGGAAAGGAGAGCAGGAAGGGTGGTGTTGACCTCTCTCACAGCCCAGCCTGGACAAGAATTCCCTACAGCAGTGAGACCACCGGGAGGCAAGCGCCACTGGTTTGTTGCCAGTAGACTCTGAGCTTGGTTGGGGTTTGTGCTGCACCATCCAAGGGCATCTTCCCTCCCTTCCTGCCTGGAAGCACCAGGCACATCATTCACGGACAGGAGCTGCCCGCTGCAGGCAAAGTGGGAGTCCCCTCTGCCTTTACCTGCATAAGGCCGTTTCCAGAGTGCCAGGCCCATGGACTCGGTCACTCAGTGTCTGACCTGATGCACAGACAATTTGAAAAAGTGTAAATTACTGAACTTCCTGCTCTTGATCTTTCCAGCAGCAATCTTTCACCATTAAACCAGGCCAGCAGATTGTTAAACCTGCCTATCACAGGGTAAGTAACAATTCACAATTGAAATGTTCTCCTACACCCAAATACTAAGGTAACTTCTAGAGCAGTAAATGACAATATAACTTGGGATGGGATTCATGTTTAGGTGCCAGAGCACTGGAATTATTGCCAATATATAAAAGTTATATGTTAGCATCTTGAATACTCCCTTCCCAAATCAGTCACCAAGATTAACTGGCACAACATTCCCCTTGGATCTCTAATAACATTTTCACTGGATCATCTTTCCTTCTTTTTGCTCCCTTGACTGTAATAAATGTGTAGAAATACATTATCCATATTGAGTAAAGATGTAAAATTTCCAGGTAGAAGAAAAACAATTTAAAAAATGGTTTGGAAAGGCATAAGGTTTTTCTGTATGAAATAGAAAATTTTGCCTCTTCACAGAGGTGGCCAAAATCTTTCAGATGTTATAGCTTTCTGCCAGAAAAAATTGATTTGGGAAATGGAAATATTCCATGATAATATATCAATTTCATTTAATATTTAGTAAAAATGTCAAGAAGACTGAAATATTGTATTTTAACTCTACTGAAATCTTTTAACATTAATATTCTTTAATGAGTTTAACATAAAATTTAAAAAAACGCATGTTCAGTTGGTAACAGCAGGGCAAAATGTTTCAATAATATCTAAGTGAAATGTCACTTTGTTTTTAGGGAGTGAGTTTTCAAGATTAATATTCCAAAGAGGAAATAGGATTTTCTTTACATTACCAATAGAAATATCAGCTTGCTTACTGGGAACTGGGAGGAATACCTGAATTATAGTGTTTGCTGTCTTGAGCAAGCCTCTTGACTTAAGTTTATCATTTATATAACATGGATATTAATAATTATCTGCAAGGGATAGTGTAAGAGCCGCTGAGCCAACTACGGCTGTCCCTGACCAAACACATCTCTCTATGGAGAATTCTGCTTGAGTGAGGACTGCCACTTTGAGTATGCAGAACTTTGATTATAAATGGAAGATATGGGTAAGAAAACAGTGCATCTCTGCTCAAGGATTTAGTGCAGTTAACTAATCCACTTTAAATCAGTTCAGATTAATCTCCTGACTGACCCCATATAGACAAACCCTTTGAGAATGCCAAGGAACCATTGTGTTGAGCAGGGTAAAAACAGAGCAGTAAATATTTTCCCTACTGTAAGATTAAGACCAATCTAAAATTGTAAGACAATGTAAACAGCTACTCCCTAAAGGTAAGAGATAAAGAATATTTGTATATCATTCCAAAAAGTGGATGAACTACTGATTTAATCGTCTCACGATGATGATCTAGACATAAAAATGATGGGATTGTGTAGGACTGATTGGTTTTTTTAACAATAAGAGTAGATCTGAAGAGGTAGCGCTGAGGTTTGGTTTTTTCTGTCCATATGCAAGGCAGTTTGTGCTAATGAGGAAATACCTTCCTATTTGAAAACCCAGGTGGAAGTGGCTAATGAACTGATAATGAGGCAAGCAAGCTAGAGGACAAAAGTTAAACTTTCCTAATTGATGAAGAGAGAGAAAGAGGATGCCAAGTGCTGCTGGATGAACGCGCTGTGGTTGCAGGCTCACAGGGAAAATTTCTCTCATTAGTGAAATCTCTGTGGCTGCAGGACAGAAGCAGAGCTCTGTGTGTGTGGCAGGCTGGAAACTGAAGGCTGTGCCCAGTGCCACACAGATAGGAAGTTTCCCTACACCCTGCCCAGTATATATTGCACATTAGTTACAGTGCTGCTCTTCCCTTTGAAATCAAAGCCATGTGCAGTTTTTTATGACGACAAAAATTTTATCGTTTTAGAATTCAGTTTTCAACCATCCCATTTACTAAATGAAACATCAGCATAAAAAGTGAGAGTTTATTTAAAAAAAAAAGCACTCAGAGTGCAGCCTTCATCTGCATTCTCACAGATGTCATGGGAAGTTTGCGTTTCAGGGCCTGCTGCTTGTTGCCTCCATCTGCTGGTGACAATTTGGAAACTCAACAGACGCTGAAATTCTGCACCTGGGAGCACCAGCTGCCTCTGGAAAACTTCTAAATCTCATTCTTCATACCAAAGCCTGCAGATCCGTGAAAAACTAGGCTTAATTTGAAAGTCATTAGTGCATCTGAAAGGGTGCTGTGTAAAACCTGTATCTGCTACATAAGGTGATACTACCTGGCATAGGAGACTTCATCAGTCAGCCTGTGTGATAAATCAAGGCATGAAGCTCACTCATAGCGAGTTTATCCTGTTCTAGATAGATAAGCACTGTTCCTTACTTTTTGGAATCCAAATGTAAGAAAAAGGAACCAAAAACTAACTTGGTACATTGGGCACTCCAGTATTCCCAGTTTGGCAAAAGCACCAGCCTAATGTCATGGGCTGTGATTCCTAATCCTTTCCTGCCCTTGACCCCCGCTGTCTAGATTCAAACTTGTAACCATTAATGGGGCTGGATCAAAACACTGGCCTTCTGGTGTCACCAATGGTGTTTAGAGGGGATTTAAACTCTGCTTTTCAGCGCAGTGAAATGAACACAGCAGTAGATTAATGCAAGGATTTGAGCTCACACAGCATGAGAGCTTTCAAAAATAGTGTTAACAGAGCTACAACTGCCTCTTTCAGGGGAAGCAAAATGAGAAGAACAGAACAAATGAACGAACACAGGGCAAAGCCTTGTCACTACAGGCAGGGCTGCTAAGCCCAGGGAGCCAGGGAGAGGGCCAGCGAGTGTGCTGAGATGTGGGGCAGGAGTTCTCCCAACCCTTCATGCTTTCCAGGAAATGGTTCTCAAGCCAGGAAGGGGGGAACAACATGCTTTCAGGCCCCATAACTGCATGTAATTCCCTACCCTAAGTATCTCCTCTTCTGTAGAGGGGAGGTGAGACCACAGTCATCAGGGCTGGCCATGGACGGGTTGCTCACCCATCCTTCCTGTTCGCCTGTGGCCAGGCACAGGTTGAGATTTTGGCAAACTAGGCAGTGGACATGAGGCTGTTTCTGAGCTTCTTTGTGCAAGAAGACATAGGTGGTCAAGTACTCCTTTGTGCATTTTATCTCTTGCCAGTTGCTCATAGAGGAAGCAGTGGAGTTGCTTTTTCTCCAGCTGCCCCGTGTGTGCCTGGCTCACAGACCCCACAGCCCATGCTGTATCTTCTGTTCAGACTGCAGCAGGATGTGCTCAAGCCCACAGGAGTGACAGGAAAACATCTAAAGTTTTCCAGCTTTCATTTCAAAGATTCCTACTAACCCAGCTGGCTCAGGAACCCTTCCAGTAACAACCTCAGTCTGGGGCTGAGCCTACACTGCTGAATCCAGGGGGAGTTTTGCCATCAACTTCAATGAGAATAGGATCACACCTCAGTGCTTTGTTTTGCCTGTGTTTGTTCCTTGCCTCGGGCAGGAACCTGTTTGTTTGTTTGCTGCCTGTGCTCAGTTCGAACATCAATAGGACTAGCTAAAAGAATTCAAACCATCAGATTTGGGGAAGAGCTCCAAAGTTTGTTTGCTTATCTGAACCAACCCAGGCACCCAGATTCACACAAATGGTCTGGGAATAACCTCAGGAGAGAAGGTTTTCTCAGCCAGACTCCACAGATTCCATTCGGGCTGAGCATATCCTGGGGTACGAACAGCTTTTGTGCTTGAGGGAAGAGAGGGGAAGTACCCAGAAGCATGTAAATGGCAAATAGCTTTAAACAAGGAGACTAATTTGCCTCCTTACCAGCAGTCCCATCAAAAAGTGACTTGATTTAGTTCCTGAGTAGGGTAAATAATCCAACCTTATATGACTAACCTTCTTCTGTTCAGAGCGGTTTGTGCAAGCCAAGGTGCAAGCCAAGTGCTTCGTTCCAGTATGTGGCTGGAACAGCTCACAACTCCTTAGGCAGGTTCTGAGGAGGGGAAAGGGATATTGCGTCTCAAGCTGGCACAGCTATTGCCCCAAATACTGACGTAACTCCCCTCTCCCATGTGTTTGCTAGCATGCTGGGATGCTCCCACAGAAAGGTGTCTTCTGACTCCTGCATTTCTGGCCTGGTCCAGCCACAAAAGGTGCCAGCATCCCAGGATCACAGCACAGGCCAATTCTGGCCCTCTGGAGTCTGTCCGTTAAGGGAACTTTTTTATCAAGTCCGAAAGCAAGTCAGGCTTGAAAACTGCTTATGATGACTAGACTTGACTTTCCTGGAGCTATTGCCATGCTGCCTGCATGCCTGTCCTCTCCCTCACGGCCCTCCAAAAGGCACCCTCCACAGCAGCAGAGGACAGCACTGCTCCTCAGACCAAACACCGCTAAGTGGGAGTCACTGCTCAGGGCACTTCTGGGCACTCGCATTCTCCACTGTCTGAACAAGTTTCTTTGCCAGCATAGCCTTCATGCTTGCACTTTTAGGTTGTCCCTCTATAAGGAACAGGATACCTAATCATCATCACTGAGAGTTTTTGGCCTTGTGTGAACAGATGACTGGCATAAAAAAATTCTTTGTGATTAGTAAGTCCCACAAATGAGCATTTCTTTCCTCCCAGACTACTCTTCTCAACTTGTAGACTACCCAGCCAAGCCTTCTACAACTTAGAGAAGAAAATGCTTCCTCCAGCTGTCTGCTCTGTGCTTGCTTGCTATCCAAATTAAACTTGCTGTGGACAGCGACACATTCCCATTTCACGCTGGTTTGATTAATGTGTCTCAGCTAATTGTGTGAAGGATTCCAGTCTTTTCGACTGTGAGACCAGGTTATTGTTCAGCCAATCTCGGCTACCATGTGAAAATGGGGGCTGTTTAGTGTTCATGCAACATAATCAAAGGAGGGGCTTCTTGGACTGGGTCACAGAGCAACACCCACTTCTTTGAAAAGATGTTACTATGCTCTACTAAACCTGCAAACCTCTTGCTCAAAGCACGTCTTCTCCCTCCTCCTCTCCCCCCTGCTCTTTTTTTCTCCTTCCAGATAGACAGACTCCCCCCACCACTCTCCTAGGGTACAAGTGAGAGAGAATGGCTAGATTGTAGATGGGTGAATTTCACATTCCAGGGTTTTTAATATTTCACTTTTATATTTCTTTTACAGAACGATCCTGCTGAGAGGCTGAGAATCAGTGCTCATCATTTCCCCCTTACTGACACTTGAATATATTTTCCCAGGAGAAAACATTAAACAAAAAGAGAAAGAGAGAAAGGGAGAGAGAGAGGGAGAGGGAGAGTGACTGAGCTAGCTTTTCAAAGCATACTTCTCAACCTGCCCACATCAAAATAAGAGACAACTGGCCCTTTGAAGTCCAGGACACAGACTCCTCTACCAGCCCATGTGGAAATAAAAGAATCCAGCTTTATAAATCACACAGATTTCTCACCTTGCCCACATCAAAATCAGGGACAGTGACCTTTAAAGCTGAGGTTTAAAGGTCCCCAAACCAATCTCCATAAAAATAAGGAGAGTTCAGATAAACTGTGTCTCCAGGTGCCTGTCAGCTTTTCCAGTCTAAACCAGGAGACATTGGTCCTTTGCACTGAGAAGTGGAGAATGTGAGTACTTGCAGCAATGAAATTCCCCCTTATACTTAGGTATACCCAGCACTCACTGAGGCAACTTTGCCATGCATGTACCTTTGATTGCATACTAGGCCAATCCCACTGTTGTTGTAGGTCCTACAACACCGCTGTCATTAAGTAGCTCAAGGGATTCAGTAACACTGAAGCACAGGATTTTTCATAATGAGAATTACTGACCCAAAAATTGAGTGGCTAGTGGCTCAGAGAAAAAGTTGGCCTTCTTGTGAGTTAAATCCTACCTGGGTTATAGTTGGGGAGCTTGGAAAGTCCTGGCCAGGTGTCCTCAGTTGGGACCCCCAATACCTATGCAAAAGAAGAAAGAGAGTGAGAAGAGCAATATCTCTTTCTGCCTGTACTTTCCCCTGGTGTGGAGTTGGAGAAAGCAGTCTCAATGGAGAGTGATTGGCCTTTCCTGTAAATCAGCATAGAATTCACACTGCCCTGTCTGGGTCTGGATCTACCACTGTGCATAAAGGACACTGACATTTTAGCACTCGGATTTTGTAGCAGAAAGGATCCTGCTGAGATTGAACGCTGTTGCTGCTGGGAACATCAGTGAAGGCATATGCAGCTTCACTGCCAGGTGCCACTTCTGCCTGTGTTTGCCAGCCCAGGGGTCTGTTGAGCCCCTTTCAGTGCTGAAGGTGTCCTCCTGAGCCAGAGCTGCACTGGGGACTTACTCTGCCCACTTGCGCTGGCAGCAGCTGATACACTCAGCAGCAGCACAGGCTGTGAGCTGTGACAGAAACCCCTGCCTTCTGAGGTGAAAAAGAAAAGCTGGCAGACAGGTCTAGTGGCAGGTGCTAGAAAGCAATCCAGTGCCTCATCCTGAAGGATGCAGAGCTTCTGCAGTGTCTTTGGCCTTTACTGGGAGTTGTGGGCTTCAGAAGTAACTGCTTGTTGAGCAAAGTCTGGGCCCGTAAAGCCTCCTCCAACCTCATTTTAGCTGCTGAAATGTGTGAGATCAAGAGCATCTGGATTTCTGCAGTTGCAGATGCTCAGTGTTATTATTATTTACTTAATGCATGCAAAAGCTCTGTGCCTATTGATATGTATGATTCATGCTGAAGAGGTAAAGCCACATATTTAAGAAGACCTCACAGAATGTGAAAGGGTAGTATAAATCAGTACTGCTAGCTCCAAGCACTCAAAGCTTATCATCCAGACAACCCACGGAATTATCAGATTTCCTTAAAACCCAGTGAAATTTTAACATGAAAAATTTCAGGGTTTTTATTCACTTTCTTTTCTCCAACATTAGATTTGTCTCACATTAGTTACACCTTGCATAGGATAGACAACAAATGTAAGCTGAGATATGTGATATGGGGAACTCAGCCTCACAAAAACTTGTGGTAAGTTTGCAAGAAAACAGGCATCAGTAAAAAAATACATTAAAGAAGGAAGAAATATAAAGCTTGGTTGTTGCAGTTGTTAAGCATCTGGTAGCTGACTGCTTTTTTCACTCACAGCTGGGAAATAGCTGTGAGGACAATTACAGCTACCTGGGGAAGACAGCCATGAGCAGGGACTGCATCTCACAGCTGGTGCATATTTGCATGGTGGGCTCTGGAGGGATGTGGCTTGCTGTGGCCCATGTTTCCAAGCTGCTTATGGACTTAGCCTGCCACAGCAAAGAAAAAGGGATAGGACCCTTGTCTCTGCTCTGCTCACCTGTAAAATCAGTCTTGGGAGTTTTCAAACTCCCCAAAGAGGTGTCTTGCAGTGTTCAGCCATGTGAGGATGTTGGAAGTTGGCTTGCACCAAGGGATGAGGATGTGTTCATGACTGGTGTGTATATCATGTAAGTAGGGCAGGTCAGCCCAAAGTAAACTCTATATGCACAGGAAAGAGTTGGAGTCTGAATTTGAATCCAGAATTTGCTGTCTTTTGCTATCTGGTTAGATTTATAGGAAGCATTAACTTGGGCCCTCATTCTTCAAGGTTTCTTTTGAGCCATTGGACATCAGTTCTAAAGGCATCAGAGGAAGCTGGGGAAGTTCAGGATATAGTAAAATCATCCTCACCAGGGTCAGCACTCTGCTTCTTTTGGTGAAGAATTTTAAAAAATAGTTATTTGTGCATGCTCGTACTTTGCTACAAAAGGTTTTCAGCAAATACTTTAATTTTGCTTTGTTGAGGTGTGAAAGCACTCAGAGGACCAATCATCGCATGCCATATGAATTTGTTTTTTCTGAGCCTTTTCTTTACAAAAGATGCTTTTCCAAACCACACATTTGGATCTGCTTTTGTTCTCCAATGTAACAGGGCAAGTGATCTCCTCTCCCTCGACCTCTTCTCCCCTGGATCTTTAGTGAGATTCCTTGCCAAATCAGACAATGCATTACATTTACTTAATTGAAATTAATTATACTCTGACAATTTGTTTACCTGTTGTATATCCACCCTATCAAATCTAGCTGTTAACTCACTGGCCCATGCCATCAGACAAAGCAAAGCATCTTTTCTGTGCTTCACTCTATAGTGAAAGGTCTTGGTGCAGTTTAGTTCAGTCCACTTGGGAAGAGGCACAGTTTCAGCCAGAAATGTTTTTACAATGCCTGTTTTTCAGCAAGTGGTTTCAGTTGGTGTAAATCATTGTCCTCTCTCTCTCTGCCCTCTGACTGCTTGCTTCTCCTGTGACAACTTAGCTGAATGAATCAACCTAGCTGATTTGGCTTACTTTTGTTGGGAAGTTTTATTCTATGTTTTATGTCAAGAAGCCTTGTAGTCATTCATTTGGCATTTGTCACGTGTTCAGCTCAGCTCCAGAAGCACACTGGTGGCATTCTGCAGCCTAATCCAGCCCACATGAAGTCCTTCTCAGCACGATGTTAATCAATAAGATGGAGTTTTGCATGCAAAACCTATGCCTGATCTCTGAAAATTTGAATGATGGACCTTAAGTTTGTCAGGTTTGCTCACTCTCCATGTCATGAGTGAACTGGAGATGCTGCAGTTCGCATTCATTCATGCCATACTTCCATAACTAGCGCTACCAGCCTTCCCTTCGCATTTGGCCCTGCTCCTGTGCCATGCCTCCTTGAGTACTACTGGTCATTAATGCTGCTGTTTGTGCAGCCAGAGGACGAGCTGGGTAAAAGAGCTGTTTTCATTTAGAGTAAGCCAGGGAGAAAACGAAGTCACAGGTTCCCCAGTTCACGTAGCCCCACATGTGAGAGGTGACACAGGAGCAGCAATGAGCAGCCAGGGCTAGAGATGAGGGATGGAGACTGCTTAAGGGGGTCCTTACCTCTAGGAGAATTGTTGGTGAAATGGCAGTCAGTCAGTCCTGATTATTCAACAGGACAAGCACATTTCACAGAATGGGGATTTTCCAGCCAAATATCTATATGGTGTCTCAACCATCAGTCCTACATGGAGATAAGCATGCTGGGTGATACAGACTCATGCACACAAATGCAGATGGTCTCTAAACCAGTGCAGGAGTCCTCTATATTATTAGTACATGAAAAGAAGTGACTATTAGAAAACAGTAGGAGTCCCCGTTCTGAACCTCACACTCGGCAAAATATCTCAAGCTAGACATCGAAAGCCTCTAAGGAGCTTTGAAATCTTGCCCTAACACGGAGCCTCATTCCAGGCTGTATAATAACATAAAACCTTCTGTGAAAAGCACTAATTATTTCATAGCTCTTAAGGCTTCCTCATGATTTTTAAATAAGGGTTTTTTTGCCTTGTATAGCACAAATCCTATTAATCACGGTGTTAGTTATAATGCCAGAGAAATTACGATAGTGCTATAACCCTCTAATGCAAACCCACAGGAAATATATCCAGAGATTGCAGAGACATAACTGTAAGGATACCCTTCACTCACACTCTGAGAAACTGGGCCCTGCCCTGGCTTTGAACCCTGTTAATTGGCCAAGTATGGATTTTTTTTTTCCTCAGTAATTCTTTTTTTCTCCCACTCTCTATGAAGGAGAAAGTCAGCATTTATTTAAATGGACTGAACTTAAGTCTGAGAACTGGATGCACTTGTCTGACATCACATTCTAGCTACAAACAGAGAGGAAAACCCTACCAAGCAGAAGTGTTTCTGGATAAAGGGATTAAGAAGGAAAAATCTGACTTACACAGTCTTGAAGCTATAAAGTAATTTCTCATGACTTTCCAAATTTCTTTTTTTCTGTACTTTCTCCTTTGAAAACCCATGCCTGGGAAACACTCTATGCAGAAGAGTCCCTGGGAGGAGACATGAAAGGGCAGACACCTACAGCAAAAGCCAGTATGAGTCCATAGGCTGACCTTCCTGTTAAGTCAGCAAGAGGGTCAGCAAGAGGGGTCATGAACATACAGAATCCATCAGTGCTGCCAACTGCCTCAGTTCTACCCAGCTGCACTAAGGACGTGGCCCCACGTTTCTGTTTCCCCAGCAGAAAAAAACAGCTTAAGAGGCTCCTGAATATGTCCGCTCTCACTCACTGCTGCCTTTAAAAGTAACTTCACACTTTCCATTATGCCAAAGCAGTCTCTAGAGCTGCACCATAAACCAGATGATACAAAATGTTCCAAGGTAAAATGAAGAAGGATCTCTGACAAACCTCAGGGTCTTGCCATTTTCAAGGTAGTTTAAGAGCAGTATTAGAGCTCCTTTGTGAGAATATGGTGTGCTGTATCCTACAGTAAGTAAAGGATTTAACAAGAAGCAACAGAATTTGCAGTACCTGCACACCTTTTATGCCTTCTTCAATTTGATGTCACTTTAATTGGCTTTAAATTTTTGATAAGATGACAAACATCAAAGGGAAATCATTTGATTTACTCTTGTGTCTGTAAGAAAGTTGCAAATATAAAATGGGTTACAAAGTCTGCTATAACTTGGTACATTAGACCAAATTATTTCTGCTATTCACGGGACCTATGCTTAGGACTTCAAAATTAAGTAGGCTGGAGCAACAGATTCTTTTTCTCTCCCATTTCAGGGTATATTTTACTCACCGTCCAGATCTTCTCCAGCTGTTCATGAGTACCAGAAGTTCCTGCAAATATTGGCTGACCGTGGATCATTTCAACAAATATACAGCCTGCACTCCTGCAAGAAACCCAAGGTATTAACTCATTCACATACATGACATATGTAATATGATTGTTGGGATGGGCAGGGAGAAAAGCAGAGATATAATTGTGGGACTGGAAATTTAGAAATTCTGATTTGTACATGCAGAAATCCTGATATAAGCTGTAAATTCTCTCTATATATTGCAGCTGAAGTCTGAAAAGCACCAGTCTGATGTGTCAGTATTGTATATCCACCTCATGACATCTAGTGAGAGTGTGTGTGAAGCAAGAGGGGATGTGGGGTGTCTGTATATATGTAAATAAATAGAGGCTTCAGCGAAGACTGATATATCTCCACAGTGTGGTGGTGGGCAGGACCTAGCACTATAAAAATGCCTACTGACTGTGGAAAGTCAGGAAGGTTTCCTTTGGGAAGGGTCATCTTGTACATCCCCGATCTTGTACCATGTTCTAGGCACTTGCAACTGGCCATTGTTGCAAGTTGTATGTAGTACCATTAACCTCATCCTAGTCCTACAGATTGAATCACTTGAATTGAAAAGCTCACAAGTCAAAAAGGACTGGAGCAGATCAGAGACAAGTCACATTCACACCCCTCCAGGATTTTAGAAAAAAACAAAGCAGTCAAAGTTCCATACAAGTCTGTTCCTATCTCCTTTTTCTCATCAACACCACCCACAAAAAAAACCCAATTCACCTTTCACCAGCAAGACAAGACAGGTGATATCCTTGGAAAAGAAACTCACCAAGCACCATCTTTTTTTCCATTACAGAACAACTTGTTTCAAGTCTCTGTCAATTAATCCTATTACAAATCATCTTAAAAAATGGGCGTGGCAGAGGCCTGTGGAATACAACGTTGCTTCCCATGAAAAAAGGGTGTAACATCTGAGTGCTATCAGTTGGAAAGATAAACAGGGAACTACTAAACACTACATTGGCTTGAAGGATATAATAGATGCAGAAAGAACCCAGAGGCACTAACCACTAGATTGATTTTTCCTTCAGAAGCAATTAGCTCTTCCTTGGAAAACTGAAAGCAAGATATCATAGCATAAAGAACCTTGCGACAACACCGAGTTAAAGTGTTCTTATTTTTATGTCATCCCCTGCACTGCACTTGTGCCAAAGCAAACCAGTCAGTTTAAAAAACACCCAACACTTGCAAAAATGCTTAATTTTACTAAGGTGGATTAGTCCTCATGGCAATAATGATGAGATAATTGTAGATAGTCAGGTAGACTGACCTATTTGCAGCTATTCCCATCTCTTATTGTACCGTGTAAAACTCCCCTCATTTACTTTTTAGTCATTTTCCTCAGAACATTTTCTAGATTTTCTGTCTTTTTACTAAGCCCCATCACAGCTTTTCAGGTTTCAGTGTCAGTCTTTGGTTATAGTATGTTTGAGTCCTTTAAGTTCAGATGTTGAAATCCTTGATTTGTCTTATAAGCTCTGAGAGTATTATTTTCACTTGCTGAGCAATAACTGGTAATCTCTTCTGGTCATCTGTACTCATGTGTTACCCCTTGCAGCTTGTTTTTGCAATACTGTAGTTGCTTTTCCCACCTGGCTGTGGTCAGTTGAAACCCTGACATGTAACTCATCTGTGGTATTCATTTTGGTCATACTTGCACACCAGGTGATGCCAAGCCTGTTTTCAGATCCATATCTAATGCTGTTTCTACAAACATCTCTGCTGCACTTTCCCTTAGCTTCCTGTATCCTAACCTTGGCAAGTGTTGTGAGATGAGCTCCTTGCTTGTCTAATATGCTCTTACAGACTCCAGGCATCATGAAACTTAACCCACAGCTGTTGCAACATAGATTTCTTTTGTGTTTCATTGCACTACCACATCACTAGACATTATTTTGGAGCCCACAGATAGATTCTACTGAGACCAGTGTCATACCAACCCTCTGTTTTCACAGCTGACGTACATGCCCAAATGGCTCACCCTATTTTGCAACCACAGGGGCTACTGTAATCTGCTGATTGCATTGCACAAGTTTAGCTGTGTATGGTCAAAACAATTCAGGTACACTTGATTTGGAGGGAGAAGAGAATCAGCTCTATGTGGTTTTGGAGCAAGTTTGCATTCTGATATCCCGGCTAGAAAGGGCCATTAGACTGGCAAAAGCAGGAACATTTTTTCCTAGGTGCAGCCAGCATTTGCTAAGAATTGCTCATGAGTAAAGAGTTCACTAATAGGCAAGCTGTCAGTTTGAGGAGAGGAACAACTTGTGGGTTGCTACAAATGTAGTTTCTGGTAGAGCTCTCTTGTATTCCTGGTTTATTCCCATTGGCTCTGGAAGCCTGTAAATCTCAGTGTCTCTAATAAAGACAAAACTATCAGAGCAACCACAACTGCTGGAAAGGAGTTCTTTGTTTCTTGTAGCGAGATTCAGTTGACAGCTGCCTTTAATGCCTGCTTGATATTGATTCATCAGTGACAATTATGACTGTTTCTACCTCTGTTTTCAGATGAAATATGTTTTTCTTTACAAAAAAAGGCCAGAAGTAGTTAGAACAACTAACGTATGGGTACCCCCCTCTTTCCTCAGATGTTTTTGTCTACCTGATAAAGCAGGACTTTGGTAACTAGTACTAGTCATCATATTAGATTTGCAATAGAGGCCTTGACTTTCCTTCTGAGATACAGATTTACAGTTACTGCTCTAACAGCATTACGAGGATCCTTTTGTTAATGATGATTATTCAAATGCATTTACTTTTATATATTTCTAAATATTTAAACTTGGCATTGCTTCATTTTTTCCCTTTTCCTTCTTACCCCTCTGATATTAATTTCTAAGGTCGCCTTAGCCCTTCCAATCTATAAGTTTCTTAGAGCGTCTCAGTCCCATAAAGCTGCCTTGGGAAGAGATAGGGCAGAGAGAAGGATCTTTTGGGAAGAGGTCTAGACATGATGTTTTCACATGTGCTAGATATGCACATGAATCAAAACAGTGGCAGCTAAAGTAACAGGAGAGGTTATAGGGATATTCAGGAAGTATAAGCAGATCTGGTTCATATAGCACTGTTTTATCTGTCTGCAATCCCTAGGGTAGGTGTGAACACTGCACTTAGACCTCAGCCTGCAGTGCTGCATCACAGTGGTGAGACGTTTTCATAAGGATGAAGATCTAGGATATCACTGAGGCATCCCAGAGTTCCCTCTCCATGTTTGGTTTGGTTTGTTGTTGGGGTTTTTTTTGGCATTAGGAGATGGCAGTTTTGTATTTAACCAGAAATATATCCATTCTCTTGTTCCTCACCAAGCATGGTCTGTATAGTGGAGCCCTTAGCCTATCTCTCCCAGTTTGGCATAGAAGGGCAATGTGAACCAGTCTGAGGAGAAGGCTGTAGTGGGCCCGGCAGATCCACGTTAAATGACTGCATGTGAGCTCCTATTCTACATTAATCTACCTGGGAAGATCCCTGATTTTTATTTTTCTCTTTTTTTTTTAAATGGAAGATTAGACAAGGAAAGCCTGACTGAAAAGAAGACATGTCTTAAGGCACTCGTGATGTTAGTAGCCACTAGTGTGGCACATGCCTAAAGCACTTGGTGTTTTCTAAAAAAAGAAAAAGAAAGTCCTTCTGATATACAGTGTAATCTCCCTGAAATCCCTTAATTGAATCTTCTAAAGTCCTGAAGATACAGTGAGGGAGAAAGAGAGAGAAAAAAAGATACAGAGAGATTAAAGCAGCTTTTCTGGTCAGTCCAAGAGTGACTGAGTCTCCTTCTGTATCTCTTTCTTCATCTATTCAAGGCCTCATTCACTTCCCATGTGCCTCCCACTGACAGTATTGCTGCTCAAGCACACTGTGCATGAATTGCCATAATGTTTTATTTTGTTATAATTGGTTTCTTTAAACCAGGGCTTTGACACCCACTGTCTCATGCCATTACCAAGGGCATTCTGTAAATTGCAGCATCCAAAAGACATAGGGTTTTTTTTCCTTTCTCCCCAATAGACAAGCAACATCTGTGTGAATTCACATTATTTCCTAATAGACAAAAATTGAACTTAAATGCAGTGTACATCAAGATAATAAATGACTCTTGTTAGAGGAAGTTACTGAATAGAGCTCTATTCTCTCAGCGTGACATCTTTCTTTAGGGCAAATACTCTGAATGTTGTTATTATAAGGAGGCATTATAACAAAGGTGCCCATAGTGTGAATGTAGTTCAGTGGGACAGAGAGCACTGTGCTGTTAGGGCTGGTCAGAGAGCTGGATGGGAACTTGTGCACCACTCCCTTGTTGCTGTTCATTACACTAGAGCGGAGTTATGCAGTGGGGATGTTGGTTTTGCACAGGCAGAAATGCCACACTTTCTGTGCATAGCCAGCTTTGGTCAACTTTCAGGGAAAAAACCCAATAGGTTTATGTCTAATACAAAGCCTTCAATCTGCTAGGCAGGCATCTTCCTCAAACTCTGCAGACATTTCTGGGAGACTGTCTGGAGGGAAAGATAACAGGTAGTGGGGGAGAAAAGACAGGACTCTTTAGACTGGCTTAGCAGCTGGAAGCCATTAGAATTTAGCAGGGTTTTCCTCCTTGGAGATATCTTTAAGCAATTAAATTAGCAGCAGGCCTAGGGAAGTAAACAACCTAAAAAGTCCCATTTCCCTGGACTACTCTCCAGACTTAGGCCATTGGAGTGCCTGATAAGCTGCAGAGCTCTGGAAGGAGATACAGCCTGGGAAGAGCTGGGGCTTTGCTGTTTGTAAACTTAGCCAGCCCTCTTCTTGCACATTCTTCAGCCTGCTGCACTCCCACCCTTTCCCAGCCTTCGACTATGCACAGCAGTTAAGAAAAGTCCTGGTGGGACAGATACAGACAGAAGATTAGCTGGTCTGAAGAAAGGGTGAAGCAGCAATACCATCTACGGATGTAAAGTTGCCCAGAATAAGGAAAGTCTCCTGCAACTTCATGAGCTGCATGCTGTCCACGAGTAAGTCAGGACTGGGTTGCTGGAAGTGGGCTTGGGCTGGTGCAGAAGTGAGCCAGAAGGCAGATGAACCCTAGGGCCCAGCTACACATGCAGGCCAGCCCAAAAGGGCCAGTGGGGCCTCTGTGAAGCCCTCATGTTCTCCTGCTTTCTGCCTGCTCTCAAATACTTCTCTCCCTTCAGCTCTGCTATCGTGCAACTTGTTTCCTGTGATTCCCAACCACATTAAGATTTTGGGGTAGAGTTCATAAGGTAACAGACACAGTCCTTCTCCTGTGTGAAATGCAGACTGCATCTGACACATTTTCTTTGAGAAGAAGAACAATGTATCACAGAAATAATGAAAATCTCAAACACCTTTCTATCTCCAGATCCATTGAGAAACCCTTTAATGCCACATTTTGCTACCAAGGCCAAAGTAATTGATGGTGCAGTTGTGGATCCATTTTTTCTTCACAAAGCTATTGCTGTAGAGAGCTACTACTAACTCAACTGGCTGCATAGATACAAGTGCATTAAGCAAAGGTGTTCTGTTGCAAGACCTGAAAATGCTTCATACATGTTACCAAACGAGATGTACATCTCTCATGAATATTATCAGATGAGGTTTATATCAATCCATAACTGAGATGTAGTGACATCATTCCCAAAAACTTCTGTAAACCCAGCAGTAAAAACTCCCCACTGCTCACCCATTTTCTGCTCACAGGTGTTAATTCCTCTACTTACAACTGTACCTACTGTAACTTTGGTTGACTTAATTCAGATAAAGATGATTTTTCCCAGGGGGCCCCAGATGCTTGGAAATTGGTCAGTACCAGATATCTATATCAGAAGAATAATCTGTAGCTCCAAGCAACACATCAGGAGGACGGTACCAGAGTGTCACCACTTCAGAGGAGTATGTCTGTCTGGGGATGGACTGGGCACGAGCGAGGCCTGCAAAAAAACCCAAACAAAAAACTGCTGTGTTAGGACAGTTCTTCTACCTGTACAGTGCATAGATGACAATAATTGGAAACAGGACATTATTTTATCTCGGATCTTTAAACACAAATAATCCCAAGCAATTGACAAAGAAAGTGTGTCTGGAATATACCTCTGGGGCAGAGCAGATCAAGCAATATGCTGTGTTTTGTAGGGCTTTATAATTTGTGACTGCAGCAGCCATCCCAAACCAATGCCAAGAAAGCCTTTTGGTTCAGCACGTTGCTGTGGACTCTACACATTACATTATTTTCTGAACAGAGAGGGCTTGGTTCTCTGTTCTCTTGAACCAGTTTTACGTGGCAGTAATTGCTCTGACTTAAATGAGGTTAATCCCTGCACCTCTCAGTATAAATATAAGAAAGGCTGGACTGACCACAGAAATAGTTTCCTGAAGTTCAGTAAAAGGTTATGCTTCCATGCCTTAATTGGCTGTGGATACAGATCTATATGCATGCTAAAGCTTTGGTCTGAGCAGATATATTAGCAGTATCCAAACTGTGACTCACCAAAGTCGGCTAATTTAAGCTCACCGAGGCAACTGATGAGCAAGTTCTGGGGTTTCAGATCCCGGTGAAGAATGTGTTGTTGGTGGATGTAAGCCAGGCCGCGCAAAAGCTGGAACATGAAGAGCTGGAAAAAGCCAACAAAGAACTGAAATGATTTGGTGTGACTTTGCATTGATATATTAACTCTGAACTTTAGGAGAACCCTGGAACAAAGCAGAGACAAAGCAAGTAAGAAACCAGTAAAAATTTCCAAAATGAGTAGAGCTGGCTGAGGAGGAGAAAACTGTGGTGGGTTATGACTGCCCTACAGCTTTCTGAGGTTTTCAGGGTGGAATATTTGGACAGGAGGGCAGTTTTACAGTCCCTAAATGCACATTTTGGAAATTTAACTTCTTTTTAGAAATGGACTATTGATTGCAGGAGCAAGATCTGCTTGTCAAAACACAGACCCAGCTTTCAGAACAGCAGCTATGCTTATTTCAGGGTTCAAGACAAAGACACACACCCAAACAAGACGAAGGCTTAAGGAGCTGAAGCTTTGTCCCTTTGAGTGAGATGGCACCAGCTGAGGGAGCTCTGTGGCTGCTGTACGTGCTGCCAGTGGAGCAGGGAACTGACTGACCTGTCAATGGGAACAGTTGGCTCCAAGCTGGTAGAAAGCATCAGGACCTGCTTTAGACAGATATTAGCAAATAAGACATGATGAATGAATGAATCGAGCAAGAAAGCAGAAAAATCAGCAAGAAATTAAGGCAAGAAATAAATATCTAACTCCCACCATCATGGCAATGTGAATAAGCCTGGGGTAAAGTTGGTCTGAAGCAAGGTGTGAAGTTGGACAGTGGAGAGAAGCAAAACACAGCAAAAGTAATTAGATTTCGCCAGAGAAAAAATATTTTTCACCAGAAGTTTAATCTGAAGAGGAGGAAAAACAGTGACACCCATAGGTCATTTTTGTACCAGAAAGGTGTCCCTGTAACATTCTGCACACTTGCATCATATTCCATAGGAATCACTCAGAATAAAAACAAACAATGTTTGCCAGCAAAAATGAAGCAAGCTAGATGACCCTCCTGAAGGAGCAGTAAATAATTTTGCAGTTTGGTTCCTGCTGACAATGAGGATTCCGGACAGGAAAGCAGAGCAGCTGGCTAGTGTTTACTCACAGAAATGCCAGTGAGTACATATTACAGCCATGTGCTCCATGTGCTTTACGAGCCTGTCTGGTAGCAGAACCCTCGAGATCTGTGCCAAAACTCCAACACTGCATCTTGGACGTATCTGAGCTTTAAGGATGTTTAAAATCTGAGGCCCCAAGAAATTTTATTAGAATTGGTGTTGCTTAACAACTATCTGGAAAAAGATGTGAACAAGGTGGCAACATTTGAAGATGACAGAAGCACTTAGATTAGTTGTGATAAGAAGTGACAGTGAGGAACTTCAGAGAGATCTGACAAAGCCAGATGAATAGGCAGTTTGATAAGATACAAAGTTATTGTTGACAGCTGTAAGATAAATTAACTGAAGCCGCTCGGGAAAAGGACCCAGGCATTCACTGAGGACATCTGCCTGAAACCTTAAGCCAATGTGCAGCAACGATCCTGAAAGTTAATTAAATGTGAAGATGCATACAAAGGAGAGTAGGAGACTATTATAACATCAATCTATAAAGTAGTGGTACATCTTTGGCTGTGTTCAAATCCAGTCAACTAATCCCAAAAGCTATAGTAGAAACAAAAGGGATTTAAATGACTGCAAATATGAAGATAGTTCTAGATGAGGAGAGAGCGAGATTTGAGAGTTTTTAATTAGAGAGATGAATAATGTGTTGTAATGATAAGAGGATACAAATTTGTATAGAGACAGATTTCCTTGCCACAAGATGTCATTGTGCACAGAAGCTGAATGTCCGCTTGCAGGCTCAGAAAACTGGGAGAGGGGCTAACTGAATAAAGGCTTGGAGACTGAGAGGGAGGTTGTTACATCTTTATCAAAGGCATCTTTTCTCCAAAGTTTTTGTCACATATGTAAAAATATATACAACAGTAAGCAATTTATAGGGAACATACATAGTGTAAAATAACACTTCCTCATGCTTCAAGGAATACTAGTCTTCTAAGGAACTTACCATAACATTGCACGAATGGAGTCCTCCAGGATGCTGGCCCATGTACTGTGCTAGATCTGTGTGCTAAATAAAGGAGGAGAACTTAAGGCAAAGCTACTGGTGTAAAATGCTTCTACCAACAATGCCTCTTCTGTAAATGGAAAAAATTGCAACCACTACAAAGGTGTCTCTTTCACCTTGGTGAGCATCTAATCTGGTGCAGCACACAAGGATGTGCTTCAGCGCTGGGTCAAATGAGGGACCTGACTGATCTGTTATCTCACCCCAGCAGTTTAGGACCTGAAGCTGCTAGTTAACAGAAGTCATACTTGTCCCAGAATTAATCATAAAACTGCAGTAAGAAGTCATAGCTTCTGTATTTTCTTTATAATTTGGATGATAGCTATCAGCAAAAGCAACAGAAGTAGCAAGACTCATGTGGAGAATTTTATTGGCATCCTGCTCTCCTCATGAGAGCAACCCACAGCTTGGTCACGGTGACCACTGGGGTCAGTGCCAAGTCTGACCCCAGCTGGGATGTGAGCTCATATCATTATTTCCTATCCTTGCTGTGGCTCAAGAACAGTACTTTTATTGTGTTGGCAAGGCAGAAATGAAGGTAAATAGTGTCTGCCACCCCAGTGGACACAACACGTGGAATCATTTTTGCATACAGCTGTCGTATATACAGAAAGAAAAGAGTAAGCCTGTGTGTCTTGAAGGCAGGAGACCAAGAAGGAAAATCAATCATTGCACTAAAGGATTACAACTTTGTAATCCTTAATTACAACTTTCTTTGTAGATGTCTCATAATGCAGTAAATTCATTATGCAGCCGCTTCCCAGTACTTCCCAGTATGAGCTCCACAGGAAGCGAGAAAAACATCAACTCACCATGTACTCAAGGACAAATGTTAGTGTCTCCTTGGTCTGGATAATGTCATGAAGCAGTACAATGTTGGCATGTTTCAAACACTTGAGAAGAGAAGCTGGGAAAACACAAAAGGAAGATCAACTTAACCACCGCTGCTGGAAGTGGAAGGACATAGTGCAGAGAACAAGGCAGTGAAAGTTAAAAACTGGGGAGTAATAGTCCAGACTTGGAAGTTCTGTAAGAAGTGGCAGATACTGAGTCTGAAGGAGGATGGAACAGGTCCTTAGAGAAGGAAGCATCAGTGCTCCAGGCTTGGCAGGAACCCATCCTTCTCTCACAGGTGGGATCTTGCCTCTGTCAGAAATAGCAGTTCGCAGTTCCCAGCTGTCATAAGCTGAGGAGAAGTAATTTCTTCAAGGTAAATGCTGAGAGGCAGAAGCTGGAAGCTCCCAGAGCCAGAATGCAGCAGCCCCCAGCCTGTCACTGAGCTTCTCCCATCCACCTCCTGGCATGTGCCCCCAGCAGGGCCCTTAGGAGAGAATTTTGGGAAAAGCTGAGTTTCTACCAGTTTCCAGCTTCACAATAACAGGGTGTAAAAATCTGCCAAAAGAAATCACTGTATATGTAAGCTGAATTCTGAATTTTAGTTCTGTGCATATTGATTACTGTTTTTGATTTAAAACTCTAAGAACAGAGATTATGAAATTTCTGAGTGAATAGTAACCTGTTCATATTTATACAATTTGGCACACTTTTTTCTTTCAGCCTAATTGTCTAAAGGCATTATTGCAACTGTGTGTCCCTGGTCTCTAGGTCCTGACATGCCTTTGCCAAGCCTGAGCACATCTAGGGTGTGGTGATGGAGGGGGCAGCACATGGAAGAGTCTCTGCCTCTGTATAGTTCACAGAGCACTGACTTATGCTAATACAAAAGCTACAGTCTTCCAAGCCTTTCAGACATGCCTTAGGTTTGTCATGGTAGAGCTGGCTCCAGCCAGCACACTCATGAAAGCAGCTCAGCAAAAAGTCTCAAAGATAGTCTTTATGGGGGAAGAGCATGCACAGCTTCATCATTTGCTACCTTAGGTGTGGGACAATAGTTCCAGTAGCTCTGTGCAGAAGAGGGATGTGGAGAAGAAGTGGAGCTGGGTTTGCTTTGCCTGTAGGTTCCTGGCACTATTGAAGAATCCCACCCAGCTGTTCACAGAAGCAAACACAAACTGCACAGACAGAAGCCCCAAAGCTCAACAAAAACAAGTGCCCCTGACTCCAGATTTTAATTCAACTTCTGACATGGCAGAATAGTCTCAGAGCTGTCCCAGACTTACCTTTTCCTGCCGATTAAAACCAAATTAGTTTACTGTCAGACCACACAGTCCTACAAATTTCATTCAGATAAGGCCTGGGCTTACAATCTTGTTTCTGCTGAATTAGCTGAAACACAATACAGAGCTTGGGCCAGACGTGGAAGACAGAATGAGTTTTGCTCACAAAAAGCTGCTTTTTTGTTTTTCAAATGATCTGAAAAAGATATTTGAAGATTTTCATGCTGGCAGAGCAAATTTATACTGGATTAGCACTTTGCCTTTTGTGACCATAACAATTTTCTAAAAGCCCTACTGCTAGAGATAAACTGTATGGCACAGCTGTGTCCCAAGCCCTATGTCAGTACTGAGACCATTGAGCAATCAAGGATGCCTAATTCAGCACAACTACTGGAAAGAGCACAGATTGTAAATTAAGTCTCGCACAGGGCTTAGTGCTGCTGCAGCTAAACTGCCTCTACTACTTATGCTAGTCCATTTAGCTACCCCCAGTATGTGCACCTAATTGCCTATTAACCTAGTAAAGATACTATGGATAGGTCCCATCAGCTCAGAAAGGGTCTGCTAACCTGGCTCTGTGATACCTCAAAATCTCATATGACCAGAGCTATTGCTCCAGAGGAGCAGTACAGAGGGTCCACAGTAACAGAGAGAATTCGGGCCTCTGGGAACTGCTCCTCACTTGGTTGCTTCTACAACCCCCTGCTGGGGTGTCAGGTGCTACTGCCTGAACTGAGCTTTAAGCATTTTGTCTCTGTGGGGCTTCCTGGGGTGAAGCGTCTCTTTGTCAGGGGAGTGCATTCCTCCGGGGGAGCAGAGAATGCGCCGCGTTAATAAATCTTGTGCTTTGTTTTTGCTACTGACTTACATTGTAAATTTGAGGTGTCAGATGCTGTGAAGCTCAGCAGTACACAAAAGACCTATTTAAAGTGGACCCTTCATAGGATCACCCTTGTTTTCTCCCATAATGAATGAAGTTAAGACTCTCAGCCTGTCCAGTAGAGCATGTTAAAGGGCTGCTGATCTTTAGTGCATCATTAGTTCAATGTAGATAAAGCTTTTAGGGCTTATTTTACTGGTGGGCTACAAGTGTAAACTCAAAGCAAAAGCACCACAGCAAATGAATGTACAGGAAACTGTAACACAAGCCATTCTGTAAATAGGCATATTTAGGTATCTCTCTGCTCTCACCCAGAGTTGGACTAAGGATTTTGTAAACCTTCTTGTCTCAATTACACTACTATAAACCTGGAGTGGATTCAGTGACCTCTCTCGTTATTCTGAGTTGACTTGTATGAGAGCCCTGTGCTAGGGCTGCTCTGTGAAAGCTGGCACATCTGGTCCCTCACTTTCCATCCCCGTGGTGACAAGATCAACCCTAGTTTTGAACTGCAGCAAGAAAAAAACCCCAAAATATGTGTGACCTCTTACATTGATAGCTTTCACTAATAGCAGACAACAGGCCAGCCCAAAGGTTGCATATTTCTGTGTAAGGAAGATCCAGATTATGATCCTCTTGGGATTGCACAGCAGATGAAAACAGAAGCCTTTGTGAACTCGGTCTGCAGGGACATGTAAATATATTCAGCCAAAATCAAGCACTTAAGCAAAAGCATTTCTTTCTCAAAGAAATTGTGCAAGTTGCAGACATTTTGCCCAGTGCTCTACAAAGTCAACTGATAAAAAGAATTTCTCACTGGGCTGAAATGATAGATATTATTAAACACCAGTTTTATTGAAAGTATTTCTCTTCAGGCTGGGATCTGTGGTGCTCTACGTATCAGCCAGGAAAGCGGCACAGCTGTGATAACAGCAAGCAGAGATCCTGGTGCAAAGGGCACTTCCAGTCCACAACTGCCCAACGTAAAAGCAGCAAAACCTGTGTAGTTTCTAGTGGAAGTGAGAAAGCAACCACAAAGCAGGTGGCAGGCAGGGTAAGAGGGCCCTTACACTGCTAGAAAGGACATGCTCTGGCTGCAGCTGGCACTTTCCTTATCACAAGTGTGGATGCATCTGTCACAAGGGCATATACCAGAGGTTCCTCCTCTGTCCATCACATGCCTACCCCGCCCAGCACAAAGACCTCCTCCATGAGGGAAAAGGAAACCAAGAGGTTTGGGAGAAGGACAGCTGGTACACCGAGTAGGCAAGAAAGGACCAAGAAAGGCATCACACGGAGCTTTTTCAGGTTAAAACAAATGCACTTCAAGGATGATGTTCCTCAATGTCTTACCTTCTCGAATGGCTGTAAAGGGCACTCCCTCCTCTGTCTCCAGCCTGATCACTTTCAATGCCACCAACTGGCCGTTGATCCTGTCAGGTCACAGTGGAAGGTCACACGAAGCACCTCAGTGCTTGGCATGACAGCATTAACAGTCTCCTGGGGTGCTCCACACTTACCCTAGCAACATTTCCAGGGCTCACACACCCACCCAGACCAAGCTCAGAAAGGAATTACAAACCTCCTCTGTCTTGTCTCCATGAGCAGCGAGCTGGGAGCCAGCCCACCTGGCTAGAGTAGTGACGGGGTATTGCTAGAGCATGGCTTTGAGCAGTGTTCCTAGACTGCCCTCTCACAGCTTTCCTGCCCCTGTGTGATGGCAGCATGGCCTCACCCCCAATTTTTCCACCATGCAGAGATCCCTCACGTCAAGGAAAACCTTTGCTCCCTCCCTGGTTCAGCCAGACAATCTCCTGACACACTGCTGTGGACCAAAGTGTCTTCATGGAGCCTCCATGGCTGTAGCGGAGGAGTTCCCTGAAAAATTGGGGTGGGACTTTGCAAATATCCTGGTTAAAGGCAAAGCAGGACCTTTGATTTGCCTTTATCTTATATAAGAGGTGTTTTCACTAGGCACTGAGAAGGCAAAAATGCTCACCTGCTGATCCCCTTGTACACAGTTGCACAGGATCCTTCACACAGCTTCTCTAGATGTACATAGGATGTGGCAGCTCCAAATGGGATGCCTTGTCTCTGCTTCATGAAGAAATTGGTGTGTGTTTTAGATTGCTGGGTAGAACAAGAAGCTACTAGCATGTCATTCAGTAATTAAATACTGATTCATGGCTGGAATAATCACAGGATGAAATATCTCCTGTCTGGCTTTGTGAACGCTGCACACTCACCCATTTGAACCTCTCCACAACATCCTGCTCCTGGGAAGGATCAGTGTAACTCCAAGGCCTCTGTGTCCTGCACCTCCAACTCTGGAGGGTGCGGAGCTGCGGGGACTGCAGTGAGGATAGAAAAAGGGATTCTCTGGTTACATCTGACTGCTGGCATAAGAAAAGGTGACAAACTAGGTCACTGGCAAACCACCATTTTACTGATGTGATTCTTTTTTTTCCCCATGACTGCAATGGCTTTGAGCATTTCACATAATTTTCATCTCTGTCTTCACCAGTCATAGATCTCCAGTACTGTTTCTCAGCTCCATCTGTAAGGGGAGCAACTGTCTGTGTATTCCTGTGTTGCTAAATTGAAGCACTCACTCAGAACACATAAACAACTGCAGAGGCTGCTTCTACTGGCATAATTCTAAATTCATGTTATTCCCCCTTACCCTTGATTTATTCATCTCTAGATAACAAGCTTTTAGGGCAGGGACTAAAAACCAAGTGCAGGAGTGAAATTTCAGGAAGTTTACATTTAGACATTTTTCTCCTCCTTAACCCCCTTGCCCCCTTCCTTGCCATTGTATAATTTACAGAGCCTGTTAATTTGGCCCATACAGCATAGCAGTGCCATACCCTACACAACTATAAAAAAGGTAGTAATGAATGGCAGGCAGGCTGCAAGCTCCTCCTGAGCAGCTATATTGAATGGGTGTCTGCATTAAAATTTGACTCATATGCAACATAGGATTTGTAATCTATGGCATGCTGCCTCCTCCCTCCTTGTTTTACAATCCCTCATTGGCACAGAGCTCACTGGAGTGCAATCTGCTTTCCCTGTTCATCACATCAAAGGCATTTATTGTCATCTGAGGTATGGATTCTTTCAGTAGCTTCACAAGCCTGAAGCTGCAAAATTTGATGCTGTCTGGTTAGAAGCAAATGTGACTATTCTGCACTCCCACAAGTGGAAGAACCCAGGCTTAACCCATCTCAAGGCAGAAGTATCATGGTGTGATATTAAATACCTCTGCTGTAGTCGCTTCTTCTGTGTGCTGAAGGCCTTGGAGATGTTGGGAGCCCCTTCTCTCTGAACAGCAGCTGCAGCATCCTGGTCTGACAGCACTTACACACAGCATGTCTCCCATGTTGTCCTGTTTCAATTAAAATGTATCTCTTTTTTCTCCTTTGCTCCTCCTCATCCCTCTGTGTCTGTAATAACAGTTCATATGACCCGCATGAGGTCTCTGCCTCAAGTAGTCTTGTGATTTCTGCAGTTTTCCTTTGAAAGTCCAAATTCACCACTGGAGTAGCTCCATTGATTTCAGCCTTCCAAAAACAGCCAACATTTTTTCATACCTGAAGCTGAAGAATTAAGTAGTAAAAACAAACTTTCTGCTTGTACATATTTCTTTCAGTTAAGCAGCTCTCAGTGTAATATGTTGGACAATGAAGTGATAGGTCTCACAGAGGAACAGACCTTGACCTCCCTCCAGGCCTATAGCAGTTCTATAGCAGCCTGTTCTAGGCTTCAGGCTTTAGCCATTGGGCTCTAAGTTGAGCTCTCTGAGAAGTGTGGCTGAGCTGTGCTTTCTGCAGGAGCTGCACAGTGACTGTCCTTGCTTTGGCATTTACGTCAGCACGGGGACCTGTCTGCCCCCATTGTCTAGGGGATGGCACGAGCTGACAGAAAATAGTCTTGTCCACATGTCAAAATAGCCAGAGCAAACTGAATAATCCAGCCCAAAATAGGTTTCATCAATTATGTACTGAGCAAGGAACACACAGTGGACTTACCCTGGATGTGGACAGACAAAAGTCCCTTTCTTTCAGTCCCCCATGAGTAGGACTCACTGAGCAACTTCCTAGGACTGGCACCCAACCCACACAGAGAAAATGCTGACAAGGGTGAGGGTGTAGGCATCATAATGTGGTATTTTTATGGTGATCCCTTAGATCCTTCAGTTTTCATTAGAATGCATCATGTGAAATCTTCCCTTTGCTTCACTGTTTTGATGTCTAAGAATAAAACTCTTTCCTTGAGCAAAAGGATTTTTTGAAGCAAAAATGTCCTGGGAAGGCAGGAACAATTTCTGTGTCTCGTTGCAGGCAAATTGCCAGCCTTTGCATGGCTAGAAGAACACACCTGGAAGGCTCGATTGCTTTCATAGAATGTTCTTTTACCCTCCCCAGTTAACCATAATTTGCTAAATAGCTATCATCATGGACTTTGGTCTTCTCTTTATTTTCCACATATTCTTTGAGCCATCGGAATACAGTAGAATTTGGATGTGCTGTCCAGGCATGAGAAAGATTGTCTAGATGCAACATACTCAGTAACAAATTGGTTGTGCAAGCGTTGTTTGTACATCTGCACAAAGGCTCTTATTCTGGAAAACTTTTTTTTTTGTTATGACCAAATAATACTTGCATTTTAATAGAATGCAGACATAAATCCACAAAAAACAGACAATATAAAATATACATATTAATTAATATGAAGATTATAAGTTTTAATTTTGTGTTAGGGAATAGAGGGGAAATATTCTGTTCTGAAGAGAAGTCATTCAACTTTTGCTGGTTAGCAAGAGCTGATAAATGAAGAAAGCATGGTAATAGCTGGTGGCTGTGGTTATTGAAAAAAATATGGAGTAATCATTCCAGTTAGTGGACGAAACACTCTAACAGAAATGTTTAATAGCTATACTTAGAAAATGTAAGAATTTATAAAGGAGAGCCTATACCTGTCTTCAGAATCATGATTTTTAAATGAAGGCTTCAGGTAACGTAAGAAATAGTCTACTGAGAGCTGACATGACATTTAAAGTACGTTTTACAAAACTTGTTTGAGTAGAAACATGTGTATAGTGTGCATGTACCTATATAGATGTGTATATATATATATATATATATAGTATGTGTATATACCCATATATATATATATACACATATATACATATAAATAGTGTGAATATACCCATATAGGTGTATATATAGTGCTGTATATACAGGTGTATACGTGTATGTAGCGTGTATATACACATATAGGTGTATTTACCTCTATGTATTTTAACCGTATTCTGTGAAATTTATGCAAGCAGAAAAACATGCATAGCTGTGTGTGCAATTTGTACAAACCGATGTGCTGACACACCTATTAAGGCCGGCTTGTCCCGAGGGGAGGCTGTAGATCGGCCCCTCGGGAAGCTGTGGTGCCCCCGGTTACAGCAGTAACTGAGCAGGTGGGTTTGCGGAGCCGTTCCCGCTTCTGACCCGCCGCCCGTGGGGACCATTCCGGGCTCTCCGTTTGCGCCTCGAGCTCCCCGGGACACGCACCCACGTGCCGCTCCCGTCTCTGCCTCTTTTGTCCCGGGCGGGGACCCGTCGGCGCGCGTGCCGGCGCTGGCCCCGCCCCCCGCGCGCCCCGCGCCCCCGCGTGAGTCAGCTGAGCGCGCGGGGCGGCGCGAGAGCGGGGCCGGGGTGGCATCTGTGAGGGGGCACTGCGGGAGAGCCGGGCCGGGAGGGGCGGCACAGGTGAGGGGGCACTGCGGG